CTTTGAGGGCCACTTCAGCCCATCAAATTCTCCAATTTTGCTAGAATGTAGTCCTCGGTGAATTCTGTAACAACTACAGGAGCTATCGCAATGAGAGAACACAGCTCTTTTACAGCAACAAGCGTTTTTATGCTGCTCCCTCTCACGATAATGGCAATATTCTAGGTAATTACTTATAAATGTCCACCATTTATGTGCATTGTATGGTGAAGAATCTCCTCATACCTATTGTAGGCATACCGCGGCTGAATAGTGTCAAGAGAAAGGAAAGCAGAAGTTCTGAAGATTGCATAAAGAATTTACGCGATCCACTTTCTTTAAAAGTACACAGCATTTCAAATTCCCATGTTACTCAGCGCCAAACAACATCATTCTTAGTTTTCAGACACGCCGGAAGCGATGGCTGTGTGTCGATTCACGAAAGTTTTAAGCAAATCAAAAAAACTGAAAAATTATGGGGTTGGCATAAGCGATTGACGACCAGTGTATTACTAAACAACTCCAGCGGGGTAGAGATGAGGTGGCAAACACATTTCCACTAGAATTCGCTATGGGGGTTATCGAGATATGATCACGAAACATCTTCGGCGGTGGCGCTGAAATGGTTCCAAACTGGTCATTTGGTGCAACTATTGTTTTACTCGAATTCGCTATAAACTCTTTCACCGCTTCATTGCCTAGATCATGGAGGGACATTCATTTTGGGAGTTAACATCATTTACTGCCAAGTTTCTGCTCGTCTACCCCACCCCCCTCACTGACGAAATTGCGCTCACAATTGACCATGGAGTGCTAGAGGCTCTAGAGTAAGAGCATCATCTTGTAACTCAATATCCCCTATGTTTACTCCAATTTAAGTGACTTCCCAATCTAGCGCCAGCGCCAATAAATGAAATACCCGTGATAGATGCTGTGATAACCACTACAGAAAAAAACCAGCATTTTTTGCCCATTCTCTTTTCTACTGGGGTTAAAATAGTGCCATAGGGCCAAAACTTTACTAAAAGTACTAACCTTTATCCCATAGTTGAAATTCTTCTCTCCCAGTACCGAAGAAATCATTGCCAGCAAGGATGCTCCTTTATCATAGGATATCGGGTTGAAAGCTTCCTGCATTTCTACAGCTCTTTCTACCTTGAAGGACAACGGATGACTGGAGGCTACTGAATCCGCTTGCAGAGCTCTTTCCAGCGTGTCGACGAGGAAGTAGTCTTTCTACAACGAAAACTAACTCCTTCATATAACAAAAAATAACTCCTTATTTAAAACACTTCTACCAGTCTCATGACGCCTTTTGTGATTGCGTCCAATGAGATGTGTTCCATGTACGTGGCAAAACCTTCGTTCAACCATAAATCGTCCCACCACATTAACGTCACCAGATTTCCAAACCACTGGAAATGTCATGATTAGTCCATATTACCTCAAGCTTACCAAGCTTTCCCACAAAAGCTTATTTTTAGAGAATTTGCTCAGAGTGGTGATCGAGTGCACAAGCCTAATAAGCGTTTCTACTCTCAAGACTAGAGATAAGTTCAACGTCATTTTCAACTTCTGAGAGCAACTGGGCGAGATCTACTAGTACCATGAGCAAAAGATCAAACCCTGCCGTCACAGAGAGTAGTGAACACGTTGGGCGGGGCAAGGCAGAAGTGTATTCATCCCGTCGGGCGCGATCCGGGACGCCACCAAAATTTGAGCAACGGGGTGCCGTTACCGTCACATAGCATCTATGTAAGACCACCTTGTGACGAAAAGGCCTCTTAAAGGACGAATTCGCGAGTAAGAAGACGAAGGTTCGTAAGAAGGGTGGAAGAAAGGTCCTTCACGGGGTAGGGATATCAGCGCGAGCCTCCTGAGGGAACTGACAAACGCCCAATTAGCAGTGAAAGATTTGACCTCGGCGCTCCAGCTCAATCTTGAGCGTTGTGTTGAAGAGGGCACAAATATGAGAGTCGCATCAATGCGCGTCAATGGGCAAAGAAGGGGTCCCATTCCTCGGGTTCCGCGCCGTTTCAAATGGTTTTCTTCTCCCCGTGCTCCACTGACCATCCGTCTAGGCTTATTTTGAAATGGCAGTTACTTTAGCGTGCACGTGCGTCCTTTTAATGAATTATCTTTTCTGCAGTAAGGGGTGAAGCTCATATACGATCGACATCTTACGAGGGGAGGTCGTTCAGGGCGTGGAGCGCTTTTTGAAAACGGTTTTTTGCATGAAATAGGGGCAGGTGCAGTGAACACAGATCTATGGTCCATTTCCGCTAAATGGCCTTCTGAATGCCAAAAAAGGAGTGAGAATCATTTTGTTGGAAACTGCAGTTTTTACTTGTTAAAAGTGGTGTGTTTCATTCATGGCGTGGACTACTTGCGTAATGGAGGGTCTTCGTAAGGTGTGTCTCGAAAACATCGAGAAGTTTGGTCAAAATTGGAAAGTTGTCGTGGTGGTGTCATGCTGTGTACTAAAGAGCGTGTGGAAGTTCCATAAGAGCATTTGGCCAACATCCTCCAGCAGCGTCGGTGGTGTAGTGGTTAGCGATGGGATTTCGATTGGCACGCTTGGTCTGGGTTGGTGGTTCGGATCCCCGAGGTGTCGGGCTTTTTGCATTTTTTGTAGGCACTTCACGGTTTTCTCCAAATAGCACAGGTGCCAAAATGGATGTGTTATTCAAGACCAGAACTATTGATAACCCAGATTAGGTAAGTTTTCACCGAAAGCAGGCAAAAAAAAGTTGTACCGTTGGAATTTCGCCGGATAGCGGCGGCTCCAAAAAACAATGCCACATTCGTGACAAGAGCACCAATTTACCTCTGGTGCCAACGTTTCGAAGAAAATCATCTTTGGCAATCTTTGGTCTAACTTCGAAAACTTGACATAAGTAAAACTTCAAATATTCCCACTCGCTCGGAGGCGAGCTCCGCACGGAAAACTGGCAGAAAACTACTGCACTGTGGGTGACCCTCCGACCAACACCAGCTTGCTTGTCTGCTATAGTCTATTCGGCAGGAGCATCTCTCATTTTTTGAGGACTATCTAGATGATGTCATTTCCAAGAAGTTCATCGTCGAGCTTTACTTGCCACAGAGTTTACTTATTCATCTAGCAAATTTTCGAAGTCGGGCCAAAATCTTGATTTTCTTAGAAACATCGACTAGAAGGGTTATCAGGTGCCCTGATTATGAATACAATATTCGTTTGTAGCTCCGACATCATTTCGGGCCCCTATGACGTTCTTCGACGGCACCTTGGTGAAGTTTTTGCGTCACAACTTTCTCTCACCAGTTTTTGGTAAAAGCCCACTTGTAAGGGTTTTTGTAAGCCTAATTGTAATTATGACATCAATTGCTGGTGTTGGCGTTCTTCGGTGCCAATTTTGTGGCGCCAAATCACAGTGCAAAAATTTTGTCACCGCGGGGAATCGAACCAAGGACCACTTTCCCACCCTTTTTTGGCATTCAGTGGGCCATTTAGCGGAAATGGACCACAGTTCTGTATTCCAGGCACATCCCTCTATATCATAGGAAAAACCATTTTGAGAAAGCGCTCCACGCCCTGAACGACCTCCCTCGTTAGTATAGTTCTCAAGTTTTTCTCTTTACTCCATCAACAATTCAGAAGCTCTTCACACATGTTCCATAACATTCATAAGAAATCCGCCGTGACGGTGCGTTATCGCGAGTATTTTGACAGACAAAACTTCAGTAAGGTGTGGGTAAGACACGCGTATCACATGCTCAGTATCGATTAGACAATCCTGGCGAATAAGTGGAAGACGCCATACAATACTTGTCGAGGCTGATCCAGTACAGTATGCTACACACGTGTTGTCCAAAATTTTTGATTGCATCTTTTTTTTTTTGAATGAGATTCAATCAGCAAGGTTACCACCATCACCATATAGGAGGCGTACACTTATTCCGGGCAGCTTCTCAAGTCTCTCACTTTAGGATTCCGGCGTTTGCTTCAAAAAGAAGCGATCGAACCCATTTTCATGTTGACCTCAGTCATCGAATTTTTTTTTCTTCTAGATGACGCTTCAGTGCACTAATTACCCAATAATTAGAAGCGGCTAAGCCGGCGAGTAAGCCAAGCACTGCGAAATTTCCCAATCAAAATCCATGATCTTTTGATATGTAATCCTTCGTCACATGTAGATATGCGTGGGGGTGGGGTAACACAATATTGAGCATTTCTGGGTGAACTTTACGCATGGCTTCGGCCAAATTTCAGAGGTGGTCAGAGCCGACAATGGTCATTACCGCGGTGCAGGTATCCAGTAGCCTTCTGTGAAGAATCAGTTTACAACCTCATCAGAAACACTGAAAACCCTTTTCACAAAGGTTTCTGCAGGCAGCTTCCCTCTTCGTCGAATCCAATAGAGCTTATGTGTGCAGTTTCCTCAAAGCTTGAGCTATCTTCATTAGTCATCAATTTTGTCAAGAGATTCCTCTGATGCAGAGGAAGAAGTGAAATGACCACCATGGTCACACACTTCCCGGTACCCATTGCGAACATGCTGCCCTGTAACCAAGATCGTGGGGATCCTTGATATCTGTCAATGAGTGCACCTCAGCGTTGTTGCTAACTCACGACTGGTAGCAATCGGCTGCGCCTCTGGGAAGTTGAGTAAACGCTCACCATTCATCACCTACAGCCGACTAGAGCAGTGCTTTACTTTGAGTCAAATATCTCCGGTTGCGAAGCCCTAAAGACAGCGGGACACTATGATCTGCTGAACGAGTTACCTCCTGAATACAGCACAGATGCTCACTGCACCGACACAAACAGAGTGGCTTTATAGGAGTTCGAGAAGTACTGGAGAACATTGCACGAAGCCTTCGTATACGGTTATATTGGAAACCTTCGGAGACACACTACAGTAATCAAACGCCAAGATCAACTGAAAAGCGTTTCGTTTTCTTTTCCCTAAAGATATTTGTTCAAAGTGTTGCAGGATTTTCTGGACAACCCAATACTAAAAACGAGTCAATCACTTTATTTTTTTTTCTGGAAAAGCGCTCTGTTTGTTTGTGTCTTTGCCGATCTGTTTTGTCTGTTACGGATTCAGAGATCGTCTGAAAAAGCATGCGGATAGACTGGATTAGGTTTGGAATTGCTCTAGCTTCAGCGACACTCAAGCATCTTTCTATTGCATTAGTGAAAGGTATGAATCCATTTGGGGCTGTTGCTTTGAGGGGATCGACGCAGTTCTCCGCCTTCAACACACATTTTGGTGGGCCACTCTATTCTGAGGTCGAACTATCATTTTGAAACAATGATCCAACTACTTGCGCTATTTCATCTACAGTATAGACCGCACATTTCTTGCTTTGTACCAATCTCTGAATAAATCACTGCAGAGAAACGGAAGCACCTTGGGTAGTGAGCAAATTCGAAAGGACGCCAAGAATGTCGACGTACCTCCTTGCTATCGCCATCGGAGAGTTTGAGTTTCTCGAAGGTTATACTAAAACAAACGTGAGGGTACGTAAATATTTTCTATGACGTTTCGCATTAAGCTTCGAAAATCTGCTTTCTCTTAAGTTCCGAACGTATTCACGACCGGAAGCCATTAACATGACTTCATACGCCTGCAGCTGTGGCGTCGCGTGTCTAGAATTTCTTCGAGGATTTCTTCGATATCAAATATCCTTTGCCCAAGCAAGGTTGTCGTGCTGTTCACTGCTGCTCGTCACCCTGTTCGAATTGGATAAGGTACTGCACAAACATTCAGATATGCTTGCACTGCCTGACTTCGCAGCTGGTGCGATGGAAAACTGGGGACTCATCACCTACAGGTGCCCCACTCTTTAGCATGCTTGTTGACAGAATTGCGCAAAAACTAATTTTTTAGAGAAAGCTCATTGATGTACGATGCTAATATATACCCACCAAAAGTTAGATTCAACGTTGCAGCCACGATAGCCCATGAGCTGGCTCATCAGGTTAGATTGCTCGACAAGTATTGAACCACAAAATTCAAGTTTTGCAGTATAAAAAAATTGTACCTATGTAGTAAAATTCTGCAGTTCAGCATTCAGCCATTTACTTTTTTTGAAGGATGGAATCTGAATTAATGCTAGATCACGCTAGTCCATTCAGAGGCTGAATGACTGAATCAATTCTATCCACCTCCTTGGATTCCCATTCACATTGAGAGGGACCCATGGCCAGGTGGATTTTCAAAAAAAGGTGCCACAACAAGTTGGATGCTGAAGAAAAGGGAATACTTCTACTAGAAGTG